GACCTTTGTCTGAACACCCCTCCAGGCGGTGGGTGAGCTCCCTGAGCTAGAACACGGAGCTCATGCTCTGCAAGCTGAGAACTGAACGCTAGCATCTCCATTCCTACCTGCCTCTGCACTTCTCACAGCCCACAAAGACTGTCCAAAGGACTTTCATACAATTGAACCAAAAAGTGCTGGGCATGAAATAATATTGATCACATAACTAATGCATATAATAAATATTCAGGCCAGTGAAATCAATACATCAGATGGTGATAAGAAATAGTTTTAAATGGGTTTAGGGGATGGTAGCTTGAAGTTTTAGAACATTTCTTTTTTGTTATTTACTTACTTATTTTTGCCAGTTCCGAATCTTAATTATCTAGCCTATTTCTAATCATAACACTGGGCTCCTTTCTCTGCTGGAGTTGACCACTTCTACAATCTATTTTTGAGAAATAATCTTACTGATAGCATTTAGAGATTTGAACTCTAATAGTTCAAGTGAAACACATTGGTAACCTAAGTTCTCAGAATTTATGAACTGTGGTGACTCCTGAAACAAACTGCAGATCATGTTAATTTCAATTTGAAGTACATGGCAGCCTTGTTTATGAGCATAGCAAGTTAGAGAGTCTGATCTTTAACATGATTCAAGTATTCAGAACATTAGGAAAGAGAAGCCTGGCCAACCCCAGGGCTCATCCCGCCTGCCTTTGCTCAGGTTGGCGGGGGAAGGAAGTTAGCTCTCTAGGGGAGGTCGCGTGGGCCAGAACGGAGCTGCCCACCGGTGATCCCCACTCGTCACCCAGGTCCATTTATTACAAAGAAACACAGAAGCGTATGCTTGACCTCAGGGAGGTGGAACAGTGCCCCCGCCCCAGGGCAGCTCCTCGTTATTGCACCAACATATCTGAAATTCTCAGCATTCTACTTCTTAGAAATCAGCTTGGCTCCACTGAACCAAAGAGCAAAATAATTGAGAGTGATCACTGATTGGAAGGGGCTGGATTAGATGTATCGGTGAGCTGCCGCCACACCCCCTCTACCTAAATAACTCGGTGGCCCTGGGGATTGCTCCTGAGAGCATTCAATTCCAAGTTTTGCAGAAGAGCAGATTCCTGTTCTAGGTAGAAATGAAAAGAACAGACCAACCACTTTATTTCACGCACAGATATATTGGTTGTCATTGCAGAAGTGACCTTAGAGATAGCCATTAAGCCTCCCTGCATTTCTGAGTGTCCCTTTGCTTCCATCATAAATTGAGATCATGACATTATGAGAGTATTTATAGAGTTAATAATTTCCCGCTCTCATCTGGGTCTTTCTTTCTTTAAATTTCCTGCCAGGACTCAGAAGAGGCCCATTTGGAATTTGAGAAAATATCCAGAGACTTTTTTCAAGAAGCTAAACTCTTCCTCCATTCATACTTCTATTTTTATTAACAGATGTAAATTTGAAGGGGAAATATCATGTACTATAAGCCTTGTGGGAATAGTCTGCCTCTTAAGGATGACTTTCAGTTTTCATCGAAACAGCACAGATCCTGAGAGCCTCAGCCCAGAGCGCATCTGTGCCCTCATCTGCACAAGTCCTGGGTGAGCCCTGCGAGCACTTTACAGTAGACACACAGATGTGTGCGGAGTAGATGACCTCACTGCAGATATCTGCGGTGTCAAGTGCTATTGGCAGATGCCCAAGAATTGATTGACACACATCCTCCAGAAGTGGAGTTAATTAATATGTCCACCAATTCCCAAATGGACCAGAGGAAACAGAAATCTGTTTAATACGGCAATCAATGACATACTGTGTGTGGCCAAAGCCGTTCACTTTGCAGGCGCACTAGGTTGAGAATATGCTATTCCAGAGTGCACACATTGCTTTTAAAAAGCAGGAAGGGAAAAAGAAGCCTATTTTCACAACTAGAACACTAAGCTTGGAGGCACTTGGTAATTGTTTTATTAATACTTGAATGAAAGTGTTAATTTTCTCTCACAAGTTCCAAAGAGATTAAGTAATAAAGGAAGACTTAATTTGCTTCAAAAGTAAACTGAAGTCTTCTTGAAGTCTATTTTTATGGCATTTTGGCACCTAGGTGTCAAGTTCAAAGTCTTATAGTTTAACAATGGTGTAAAGACAAAGTTATTTGTTATATATGACTAGATAAATACTTTTAAAAACGAACTCATGTTTCATTATTTCATTTTATGGGCCAAGGTTAGCAAATATACATGCAATTCCTGAACTAGAACTTAGGAGTCAAGTGTGCCTACCTGAAAATGCCCTTCGCTGGTAAAAGTTGGTGTGTACGAAGTTCAGGAGAGCTCAGGAACTCTCCCTGGATCCAGCCTGACTGTAGCTTGGCTTCTTATTTATCCAAGCTCTCTTCACTGCCATTCTTTCCCTGATGCTATGAAGCACGTATTGTCCCTTTTGTTCAACTGCACAAGCGGCATAATCTTTTAAAGCCAAAGGTAGTGGTTTAAGTACCGGCACAGATCAATTTAAACCAGGTTGTTTCATAGAGCAGCTTAAGCACTGAAAATTAAACTTGATGTAGTCAGACAAGCTATCTTGATAATATCTTTTCCAGAATTTCCTAGATTGCCTGTCTAGACTGTTCCCAATCCCCCAGGTAATTGCATAATCATCTTCCTCCTGACTTCCTCAACAGTCTGGAACGGCATCTCCCAATTTACAGTTGCTGTGCAAATCAAAGTCATCCAGCTTCTGAAAGAGGACCTGCCTCGAGGGGTCTGAGCTTCAGAATCTCAGGAAAACACCCTCCTCCTGTCTGCCCCACCGGGGCTCGGGGCTCGGATGGGAAGCTCCATTGCATCCTTGTCCCTGCCGTGGAAGAGACCTGGACAGCAGGAGTGCATGTCTCCAGCCCACCGCCCACCCGAGGGCAGCCACGCCTGGCTGAAGGCAGCATGGGTGAGCGACTGCATCAGACAGAGAGTCCAAGAAGGAAAGAAAATCATGGGGAAGTATGAAAAGGCAGGGTCAGCTTATGACTTTTGTTGTAAATGGCCATGGAGAGCCGCAGCCTCAAATTTTCACTAAAGGGAAGGCGGATAAGGGCAGAGTTCCCCTCCCCAAGGAGCAGCCAGTGCCACCATTTTACAGCCTCTTATGAAGTGAGAGGCACCTCAGTTAGGTGACAATTATGTGCAAGAAAAACAGCAGCAGCTGACAGCCAGGGGGCATTTGCATTTTCTTATATTAATCGTCCTTCTTCAGCTTGGCCAAACTAGTAGCCAGTGCTTGACCCTCACAGCAGATATAAGATCTATTTTCCTCACAACTTCCCAGATCACAAACAGGGAAAACAAACGCTGAGCTCCAGGTCCAGCAGTTTGTCCTGAGCTGTGTTGGAGCAAAGCCCAGTGCTGGGATTAGGGCCGTCTCCACAGCAGGCACATGCGAGCTGGAGGACTGGGACAGGGAGCGGCAGGAAGAGAGTCCCTCCTTAGAAACTGAGGATATGGAGGACGGGGAAGCTCTGCTTTATATTTTTTAGTTCTGACGCACATTATGAGACAGACGCAGAGAGGCTGAGTAGCGTCCACTGCTCTGCCTTTGGTACACTGTGATACCAGAATCCCGCTCCTCCACTCTTCAGGGCTGGAAGCTGAACATTTCTGACTGCGGACGGGCAGAGAACCTGCAATACAGCGTGGGCAGCCTGGGCCCACATTCAGAACACCAGACTGCAGAGGTGACCGGTGAAGGGGGCAGGGAAGCGGGCGTTTAGACAGGAGGCGAGAGAGACATTATGTGTATAAATCCCAGGCCCACATGCACGAACTTATTCCTAACATCAACAATGGACAAGGAGCACATGCAGGACCTGAGCATTGCTTTTCATTTAGATACGTCAGGGAAGGCAGTAAATGTGGCTGGGAGATTCAGAGGAGAGGAAGAAGAGAAGGAGGAGGAGGAAAAGAGGAGGAGGAAGACAGAGGAGGAAGAGGAAGAAGAGAAGGAGGAGGAGGAAGGACACGGTGGGTATAAGCTGGGGACAGCCAACGGGGGACACCTTGGGGAAGCTTGTTCAGGCTCCCAGGCTCGCTGGGAAACAGTCAGGACTGAGTTTCACTGAGATGACACCCAGTCTGGAAGGGGCTATGTGTGCACCTCTCTAGGACATCTTAGGAAACTGAGGGAGAGACCCTCCAGTTACACTCATAACCGTTGGCAGATGTGAAAATCAGAGCTGATGTTCACAATTCCAGAAATGCTTCCTGACCAAATCCTTTCTTTGCTGGGTGTTTATGAATTTCAATTTGGAAAAAAAATTCTGTCACAAATGATTTTCTCAACACATGAACACTTTTGTTCTTCTTAGCTTTGAATGCCACAAACTATCAAATGATTTCTAGATGAGGGTGATAGATAACCCTAAGTCGCCAAATTATTTTTGACATTAGCTCTGTTTCTTTCTTATTAATTTTTGTTTAACTTTGCCTAACAATAAAATCCCGTCACTAATTTTCTATGCCAAAACCTCTTTAAAAGCAGTAGGTAAATTTATACTTTTTTCATTTCTATTCCAAAATAATAACTAAACCTACAACAAGAACACTGGGCACCAGGGTGAACGCCTTGAGTACAGACCTCTGGGCACACACAGGCTCCTTCTCCAGCCCCGCAGAAGGGACCAGTGGCCGGTGGCCTCTGCTGGCTGAAGGTGGGTGTGGGGAGCTGGCAGGGTACAAATGAAGGTGACAGCAGCACACTCAGCCCAGGGCATCTGTTGCCCCCGCAGAACAGAGCAGGCTGGACTCTGCAAGCCAGTGGGAAACCAATGCTTCCCTCCTCCTGTCCTCCTCCCCACGGCTACTGTTGACTGGTGCCCTCATTTTTGTATTCACACATCAAAATTAACAGCAGCATCTGAATTTGAAGTTGTGCTGCTGAACACAGAAGCTAGACGGGCTGCAGGGATTAGTAAGGAAGCCTTTGCACGGGAAGGATCCTGGGCAAATACTGTTATTAAAAGCCAGCTTTACCTCAGGATGATGTCCAACTTCAATGTAGGTGCAAATTGGGTGAAATGCCCCGGTTCCGCAGGCGTACAAGTGAGTCTGATTGTAGGCCTTCAGCACCTTGATGAAATTAGCACATTCTTTCTGCGAGACAAAAGAAAGGCAAGCCGTGAGTGAGTTCCGCTGCCAGGCTGAGGTCTCCTCTGGGCCCGGCATGATCGGGCAGGTTCCTCCCGCACCGTCTCAGGCAGCAAGGGCTGATTTCTGATTGCCTTGCTTTGACACTGTTCTAACCTTTTGCATTAAACTCATGTAGAATTTCTTATTTTGGGGGACACGAATGCAGCATGTCCTTCCATAACTGTTTCACTGAAACTGCTTCTGACTTAGATAAAAGAGGAATAAAAGTTAGGTAACCAATAATCACCAGAGAGTCTTGCAGAAAAGAAGACAATAAATTATGTACACAACAAATTACTAAACAAGATCATGGTGAAAATTTCCCTGCAAAAGTTAAAATATGAGTTTAATTTTAGAAAGAGAAAACAAAAACAAAAGATGCTATAAGTTTATATTAAGCATAAAGTTTAAGCATTTTTAGTAACCCATTTTGAAAAATTTTAAGTAAATGTATGCTAAATAATAAAAGATACATACATGGGCAATTTCTCTTGTTATTGGCCTAGAATTTCTTCATCATTATTTCTTCTTCTATATTCACTTGAAATTAAGCATCCAATATAGAACTATAAATGAAGATAAGGTTTGAAAGCAGGGTCGGCAAACCCAGGGGCCCGCGCTGGTCCTGGTATTTCCCCATGTGCTGTGCCCCTCAGGCGGCTCCCTAGGAACCCTGGCCTTCTGCGTGCAAGCCCAGTGCATTTGCACTTAGGTCATCAGGTGAAGTTTGTGTGACTCAGATGATCTATAATTTAAATATGGTTCCATGTGACATTTCTGTTCCAGTTTTGTGACTGGTGAGTTTGTTCTTAACTCTTTTGGCCCCCAAAATAAACACAAGTAGAATAATTGGCATTTAAATTCAAGGAACTGAGGGCCATCATTTATTTTTCTGGGATGAAGCCTGACATTCTTTCAAGCATGTTGTGTTGAAGTTGAATTTGGCCTGTTTAAAGTAAAACACAAAAGGTCCAAGCTGTGATTCCTTGTGCTTTCTTAACAGTGAGTAAGCAGTTCCTTTTTCCCCTCTTGAGGTGGGGGTGGGGTGTAAATAAACACAGTTTCATCAATTTTGGTCAAATAGATCCTGAATCTTTCTTTCACCTGGTAAGGCAGTACAACACATGAATTAGGCTCTGCAATCAGTTGCTATTGCAAGTTGTTCTGTGAGAGGGATAAAATGTCCCAGCTTGAAGGTAACTGATGCTTTTTCATTAGTCACTTTGAACAAGGCCCATGCTGGGTAAAACTGTCAAACAGTTGCAGCCTAACTTGCATTACTCTGGGCAACAAAGTCTTCATTCTGTAACAACCTCTCTCCTGCCCCCAGAGGACAGGGCCTGAGGAAGGAGCTTGTGAAAGGGAAACATCTGATAAACTCATTTACAAATGAGGCATTCATCTACCCACGGATGTACTTGTGCTCCCTAAAAGATTCTGCCATTTGAAGAGAAGCTCTTGTCAGAAAAGCCTTCCTTTGGAACATGTGGGTGGCCAAAGGCTCCACTTTTCCATAGCCACGGTTATTGCTCATTGTAGGCTCAACGTTAGAGTATTCAAGAGGACAAGTACTGAGTTCAGCACTGCATGCCAGCACCGAGTCATTGGCTGTGGGTACATGGATAGCAAATGGGTATTCTGATGCATAATAACAGAGGGTGCAGATGGATGCCTGCTCATCTTAGAAGAGAGGACGGCTTTGGCTTATCGGTCTTGCCTGCAGAGATACACGTGTGACTGTATTCATAAACCCAAGCTCTCTGCTGCCAGCATTATCACACAAGTGCCTCCTAGAGGCTGAGAATGCGTCTTCATTCTCTGCGTTCAAGAAGGTGAAGACCTTATGAGCACCAATACTACCGAGCCCAAAGGAGACCTCATGCCATCTCTGCAGCTGGCTGTAACTGTAACGCTGTGGAGTCTGGGGCACCTTTTTGCTTATAGCTTAGATAGCTCATTAGCAATTTATCAGTGACTGGTTCTGACCTTCTAAGTAAACAGGCAGATAACAATTAATGCAAGAAAATCCCTTCCAGCTCAAGCCACGGGATTGGACCACACTGACCGTCAACATTTCAGTTTGTTCTCTGTTAACTCTGAAGAAGGACTCCCCATCCTACACAGCCATCCTGCAGAGCCCCTGGAAGGAAATCAGTGGCAGGGCTCTAGCTGCGAGACCTGGCCAGGACTCTGGGCAAAGCTGATAACAAGGAGTCTGTCCTTCCACAGGGCCCGGACCGCCCTGCTGGCCTCCGGCCTGGCCCGGCTTCCTCCTTCCCACTAAGCGCTGCCAGCAGGTCATGTTCCTGCGGTGCCCAGGGGCGACCTCCATATTACTTTGAAAGCGAAAGTTGATGCAAATAGAATGGGGAGAAATTTCTTGGGCTGAGACGGGGAAAAGATGGTTGAAAACAAACAAAAGAAGGAAAGGAAATACTTTCAAAATTGGTTAAAATAGCTAGGAGGAGGATCAGCTACAACAATGGGGGAGGAAGGGATGGAAAGAACTGGATGGAGAAGAACCGAAAACTTGGAAGAGACATGTTAGGAGGATTTGTTCTTGAGAGAAAGCCCGCAGAACAGAGTATCAATCCTGCCCTTCATTCGCCTCCCTTCCCGCGGGCGGCTGCCAAGGGCTGTGAGTGTTCCAAAACAGGATATTCCTTTTATTTGGGAGCAACTTGGATGTTCCTCTAAACAAGAAGGAAGCGTGGCAGAAAGAGGAAACGCACTTCACACATTTCTGCTCAGGGGAGACAGAAGACGAGTGTTTCTGACCTTTTCCTGAACCGTGACGTGTCTTCAGACTCGGAATATAATGCACTTTCTGGCATTAAGCTACAGCCCGCTCTCCTCGGCCCTGGCGGATTTACAGCGCAATAAAGACCATCAGCTCACAGTGAATTCATTTCTCAGGCCTGAACCTTTCTGGAATCCGAGCTGATGCACAGAGGAGGTTAGCCACAAGGTGGCTCCCCCGGGGTCGGGCAAGCATGCTGACCTCTGGTTTGACTGAATCACTCTCCAGGTGAGCAGCAGGATGAAGGATTAGTTCAGAATAAAAGCAAGGACAGCTATGACAGGGACGAAAGGCCACACCGGAGGAGCAGTGACTTACTGTCCACAGTGATGAGCCAGGTGCACGCAGGTTTTCAAGGTTTCCTCACCTTTGAGATCGAATGGCGAGAGGAAACACACATAAACTTATTAGGCTAAAAAGAGATACCTAACTGAGATATCTATGATCGGAAGAGGCTGCAGGAGCCAGGTTTGCAGAGCGATTCACAAACAAACATTCGAGAGCTGCAGCGCTGATTAGACCTCTCGGCACAGACTTTCCCGGATGGTTACAAAAATAAAATACACCCATCTGTCAAAACAACTGCTCCCTGCGTGGAAATCACAACAGAATCGAGGTGTTTTGAGCTAACTTCCGCTAATCACGCTTTCTGCAAAAGAAGATAATGTACCTCCAATTCCAGCGACCTCCTTCAGCATTCTTAAATTATGGGGGGCACAGTGAAATTCTGCTCTGTCAGGAAGGAGGGACACAGAGAGACTGGGAACAGGAACCATCACTGTTCAGATATTTTCTGTCCATGATTAAACCAAACAACTTGTTCTGGTCCAGCTATGAAACAGTCCAGAATGAATGGGCAGAGGATGGCATCGCCTCAGATCAGTGAGAATCCATCCACCAAAAAATGGAAAAGCAAAACCCCTCCCTCATTAGGAGTTCACGTGCAAATGTTTCCACGTATGCTCTAGCAGCTGGGAAGGCAGAGGAAACCTTTTCTATCTTATGGGTGGACACGTTTCTGCATGAAAATCCATTAATAGGCTTAATTCCTGAAGTTCATCTGTCGACTCTCTTACGCTCTGGTCAATTTGCTTGGCAAGCGGCTGAAGGCGGCCTCTTTGTGCCACAGCAGTATCCCCGAGATTGCCGCTGTCACTCAGGCCGCCTCCCTCTGTGCAAGCTGCTTCCGACTCATCTGGCAATCCTGGTTTGTCTTTTCCTTTTCACACTGTGTGGTTACATTCCTCGACCTGATTACCCATCATCCGTCTTCTGGTACTTCAGAGATCACTAAAAAACACCGGGAATCTCTCCTTCAGACAGGTGTATCTGAAAACTAACATACTAACATGTTCTCCTCATCATAATGGTGGACTTGTACCTGAAGTTTTTTGCACACCACCTTTTAAAATGGTTAATAGACAAAAATAAATAAATGGTAAATAGGCCATTCTGGCTGTCGAGGGACATTTTTCTTTACCACTGATGCTAATAGAATGATAAACAAAAGTAGATCTTTCTACCTTCATGCTTTTTGCTTTTAATTTCAGAGATTAAAAAATACTGATTTAATGAGAACCATAAAGTCAGGATTGTTTCTTTGCTGGTTATCTAGGCTTACGAACATAGGCACGTTGATTTAACTGCTGCCGTTAGACTGGTGGTAACTGGAAAGGCAGTGCCACAGTGGCCTGAATGGTGTCACAGAGTAAATGATAACTCTCTGTCCAAGGTTCCTGAGTAATTTTACTTTCTCATTTTAGTTACATGCTCAATTTGACTACTCCTCACCTCTAGATTGACTATTCTGACTATTGACTAGTCAATAGATTTACTATTCTGAAGTTGTAGAACTTGAGATTCTAAACAATGTTTTCTTTCACATTACTTAAACATTCCGGTGTGGTTGAAAGCCTGTACATACAAGGCTCTGTGGACCTTGATATCAGTGAGCATGGCCAGTGCCGTCCTGCTCTTCCCTCCTGCTGCTCAGAGTTCCATGTGGACAAGAGGAACTTGTCCTTCTGTTTACAGTTATACCCTCTTTCATATGGCATTATCATCTAATTGATCATCATATTTGTGCCATTAATTGGTACTTGATTATAGTTCCTTATAAGTTAGTAATACAAGATTTCTTCATTTCGTATTCCACTGAATGAAT